GAGCGCCCGGATGGGAAATGGATATTTTTGTTTAACATTGTGCCCAAACTTTATCGTGATAGACATCAAAGAGCACATTTATTGTTGTTTTGCATTCATTGCTTTAGAAAACGTATTTGCACAACATTCCATTCTGCATTAGCATTTGGAATTGAGAGGAAGATTGATTTGATTGGTAATGTTTGTTGTGGACCTCGCTATCACAAAACTTATGAGTAGGATACAAGCAACGTTAGAAATGCAATCAGAGATGTAGTTGTTTTTCATAAAAGAGACTAGCTCTCTTCATTTCTTTTGGCCATGAGGCTGAATATCCTATGGTCGTTGTTGGCCTTTGTCCCTCACAGCTGGTGTACCTAAAAGACTAGCAAGGGTGATTGTGAGATACTTAGGATTCAATGTGTTTGAATACGTTGCTTGGTGGTCATTAAGTCGGTTGTGTGGAGGAGAGCTTGAATTCATAGATGTTGTCGGACCAACGTTTCTTCATTGGTTTAGAGAGAGTTTTTGGAGTATATATTCGGATTTGTGTATTATGGCATGAAATCCAACAATTGTCACAACAAGGTTTTCAACGCTCCAACCGAAGATCGATGATTAATGGGTCCTATTTTTTAAGTTTCTGTTTCTCGTAATTTTCATTGCAATATGTATATTCAAATATTTTTATGTCCGGGTGAGTTGCTTTTGAGGAGAGAGTGTGTTTGGATAGGTTTTGTGTGACAACTATGTCCGGACGAAGTTTACCGTAACATGTGCATCTAGTATTTATAAGGCAGACATGAAAGTATCCGTGACGTTAAGTTTGGTCGTGGATATGTGAATTTTGACTACTTCCGTTTATAAACATGCGTTGTGGTGCAGTGTCGTTATGAGAGTCCCCTGTTCTGATGTCTTTCATTGAAAGGTGATTGCATATTGATATCAGGTGAAGCTGTTGCTTGGCACATGGAGTAAAAGGGTGATGGGTACCGTTGTGGGATCTGAAGGTAGAGAAGTTTCCATGAATTGACCTACTCGAACCTAGATGATATCATACAAAATATTGGACCCTCTCGCAGATCCATTAGGACGCAGCGAAGCTCGGTTGCAAAATATCTTTTGCAATCATGAGCCTCTTATCGATGCATGACTTAACTCCTCAACGTTTTTTGTTGGCTCCACGTTTGTACTCCCGGTTTAGTATCCTTGACAGACATTAGCTACATTATCTTGTCTTGCGAGTTCATATACGCACTCATTCACTTTCGTCTTTCCTTACGTGCCGCATGGGATAAACTCCTTTTCAAAGACGCATTCTCCTTTAGAGATTTCCGGCTGTTACTGGGAGAGTGTAATTCTCTCCTGAAGAGTGTAATGGATGGGTAATCTAACCTTTCCACAAAATTATCCTTTACAACGTAGGCATGTTAGGTTTACCTTTTAGTACGAGCAAGATAAATGGCTCTTTCGAACAGAGTGGAAAAAATATCAGAAAACCAAGTTACTAAGAACTGCGAGGGACGTGAGAAACAGAACTAAGCTATTTACAATGTGTGCTAACCCGAACATATAGAAGTGGCCACCCTTGGATGAGGTATTAAGTGCGCTCTCTCCCTCAAGGTACTCACCTGCAGCCCAAGCGCGAGAGAATTAGTGTAGTAGTCATTTTCTAGAAATCACTGTCGACGAGTTCGTTGGTCATTCCTTGAGAGGTAAAGCTCGGTGACAAGCAAATTCGACTCTCCCTCAATTCACACATTCATCTTCTGTCCTTCGATGCTGTTTTTCTCTGGCGGATTTTCATGCCCTCATATTTGCTTCGATGATACTGGGAACTCGCGAATTGTCTTCCCATGGCTTCCACTTAAAGCTGTAACTTATCTTGAGAACAATGCAAACCTGGTAACACCTGACTTACTGCATTCGAATGCAAAAATCTTCAGCTTCAAAATGCTTTACCAGCCACGATATTGGTGACTCTATTCTATGCTGCCTTGGCTCCGAACTTAGTTCGACATTCATTTTCATACTTCTGATAATCGTTCTCCATTTCTTCGGTCCATGTGCAGAGCTTAAAAAACTGTTCCTCCCGTCCCTGAATAATCGGTGTACATTAGATGAGGCATAAGATGCACAAGAAACGAGGGAAGATGAAATATGAGTAAAGATGTCTTAATGACATCGACACAGTAAATTGCTCGACATGACGAGAAGCGGAACCACTATTGCTGAAAGGTTGGAGAGGTACCTTCAGTATTGCTCTCTGGGCTTGGGCCTTTTCAATCTGCTTGTCGCGTTCTTTAGATCTATTCTTCACGTCGACAACCCAAGCTTGTTGTCTTGCAAAAAAATTACCCATGGCCACTTTCTGCAGGCATATATTCGAGGCGTATCTATGAACTCAGAATATTCTGTTTGAATTCTCTATTTTAGAAATTGCAACACCTTACAGTAATAAATTTCAACGTTTCGAGTAAAAAGAACTGTAAATTTCATTTCTGGAACTGCAAGAGACATCACATCATACAATCATAAATCTGTATTTTTATATTTCTACATGGGCAAGCGCGTTTCTTTTCATCCCAGATTTTTATCTGTGTGTCATGATATGCAGTCGCTATGTCTACACCCGTGAGAAACCTATCAAGACAGCATTCTACACCGGTAACGTCATTGAATACACCAAGTAACCTCCCACTCATTTATAGAGATACCTAGGCCCTAGAACTTAAACTCTTATATGTCCCCATGGAGGGCTTTAAACCGAGAAGAGATCTTAAGACGATAGTGACTCAGTATTGATAATGATCAGGCCTTCTGGTTATATTAAAGAGGAGCCGCTTCCGGACAATCATATCGTCGAAAGTCCCAGTACTAAGCTAACAGAATGAACTTGACTTTGCTAGATTTTCGGTTTTAACTACAGGTATGATAGGATTCTCCATTCAGCTGATGTACGAGCCAGAGATTGTTGCTATCAAAGTACGCGTCCAGGAGTAATCTGACACCGTTTTTACAAACAAAACCTGACAAAAGTAATGTAAGGTATACCTCTTTATAGGATGTTCGTCGAAGACTTCTCGGAATTTCCAGGATATGCAAGATGCCTTGAATGTCTCCTACTGCAAGAAATTGTGGAGCTGTAAATGCAAACATTCCAGTTATTAATTGTAAATTCAGACAGGTCTTGGTTTGAGGCATGATAATCTAGTTGAGCTAGGAATTCACAAAGGAAGTACATTGTACTTTCTTTTGCAGCCAGTTCGTTACATGGATTGTAATGTTTCATAGGTCATCAAAAGCTTCCGTTGGACATCGAAATCCTTGCTACGTAAAAGTTCTCTGCTTGTATTCAGCTCAAAAAGTTAGAGCGCAAGAATTTCGTACAAGATATTCTCCAAAACTCCATGACGGTTAGCTGGCATGAACAAACAGTGGCGATCATCGACGGCTGGTGACTATGGTCCAACAAATCCCACACCTCTATCGTTCCATCAATCAAACCTATATAAATTACCGCAGGTCGAGTAGGACTCCAACATCCAGTAGTCAGATAACCCTCGGCACATCTAGAGAGAAAAATTGGCTCCTGTGACAGAAGGTATACATCGCATTAAAAAATCACTACTTGGCATTACTTATTACTGCGCCGTGAAAACAATCCTAGCAATATAATAAAAATTGCTGCCATCTTAAGAACTATAAATGAAATACATGCATTTTTTGTCACTACAGAATCTCGACTTGATAACTCACATTATTTCTGCGAACCACTCGATTACCTGACCCTTCTCTCCGGAATACATACGTTCTTCGTTAAAGCATTTTCTCAATTGTACAAATTTTCCCTAAATTTGAAGTCCTTTTTGAATTGTGAAAGTAAAACTCAATACTCGAGGACCCCGACATACATTTCTAAGGTCTTCGATGAGAGAACCCTTAAACTACAAGGGTAATTTAAGGGTAGCGCCACAGATGAACGAGATACATACTCTCTCTCCGTATCGCTAGCTAAATCTAGCAGCCACGTTTAATCTCGTTACCTCTACCTCCTAGCTTTACGAAAGTTGTAACTACCTCCTAGCTTAACGTGTCGCATCATAGCAAGTGCTACAAGTGAAACTCGGATCAAGCACAAGAATATACCCGTTGGTTAAGTAATTAAACACACAAGCACATACAAAACTTACCTTCACGTTGTCCTTCCAAAGTGCGAAGGTCCAGATACCGATTGACAGTAAAACCGTCTTGAAAAATGGGGAAGCTAGCAAGGCACGGACGGGCCCGTGGTGACATATTGCAATAGACTTGATGTTGTTTCCAGAGGGTGAAGTCACATCTGCATTCAGAATCTCTCCAAACTGAAACGCACGAGCATTAGTTGTACTCATGGAAGTGCCATCTCAAAATCTGTAAGATAGAAAATTAGTTCTATTACAACTCAGTCAGATTAAATCTTATAGTAAAAGCCTGTGAACCCACCATCTTAGATAATATAAGATCTCATTGATCACCACAAAATCACATGAACTCCTATCCGGTTAACTGACAGCGAGACGAGGAAAACCAGGACAACGACTGAAAGGGATGGCAAAGGTGCTGATCTCCAGCTTAGAGACAACAAACTTTAACTTTATGCACCTGTACTTCACTGTTGACGCGTCTACTTCCATATTACCTTCAAGAACTAAGACACTGCGGCATCAGCCTATGAAGGAACCACTCTAGCAATTTAATCAAGGAGAAGTACCTCTGTACTGCAATAGAACTGAGTGCCACCGGCGGCAAGTCCGTGTATGGCCATCTTCAAAGGTCCGACTTGCTTGACAGGATCTAAAGAGGCCAAGGTAATCTCAACAACAGGATTCCACTTGTACTTCTCCCCTTCCATCGCAGCCGCTCTCCTTTCATCAGACCACTCAGGACTCAGCTCTGGTTCACCTTTGCTGGTGACGTCCCAAAAGGTAACCTGTACATGCCAGACTATTAATTCTGCAAAATGTTCTTGTAAGACGACGGCCTGGAGTGAAAGGATTTGAACCTCTGTTTCTCGGCACGAAGGACCGATGCCTTACCACTTGGCTACACTCCAAATAAACTGGGCTGCCCAAGAGTTTATAATTCCGGTGTCATTGACATCACAAAACTACAATAGTTGTTGCTGAGTCGAAAGATTCTACTTCACGGTCTTCAAACATGAACAAACATTTCCAGTTTCCTGCTTGGCATTTTCTAAAACTTTCCTGCATAACAGCTTATTTGGTTCCCTGGCCATTTATTCCAAATATTTATACCTGAAGGTCCTGAAATTCCTAGTAGAGTGGAGAGTGTGAATTATGAACTAACCTTCCCATCCGCTGAGACTGATGCAAGAAAGTTGGTAAGCCCTCTATTGCCAACCATTTGCCCTTTCACGCTCATCTTCAAAACACCAAAGTTAGTAGTATAACAGGTTAATAACTTTGATAATCCATCTGGAATATTAGCACACAACGATACTCGTCTCTATCATGATAATAGGGTAACTCAGCTCGGTCCAACTCCTAGTGATTTTCTTTCCTTCAAGCTAACAAAATGTAAAACACAACAAATTAAAGTTGTTCCCTTTCGTAACGAATCGCTGAAATATCAAAAGAACCTGAAAGTCTTCTGGTAGCCAATGAATATCAGAAACGATACTGCTATGAGAATGCTTCGCGCTGCTTAAGAGAGACATCAGAACGAGAACAGCCTTCTCGCTTGTTTTCTTGCTGCTCTCGCTCTTGTCCTCAAGCTGCCTCTTATGCCTTCTGTCCACCGTTTCCTGAGCGGTGGTGAGGTCCCACAAGATAACCTGACCTTCTTAAGTGTCAGTATCTCAAAGTCTGACGAAGGAAGAAATGAAACTGGTAGGTTTAACTTCTACTCCTATTTTTGGGTCTCGAATATCAGATTCTCACGTAAATGCGTACAAAGAACATGAAGTCATAAAAGCTCGGTCGTCCCTTAAAGTTTAATGTGACGCTCAGATCAACCACAGCATTTGTTAAATCTGAATCTCCGCAAATACGGACGCTCGGAATAGAGAAATTTAAGACGAAGCGAAATGTCCGAACTGAGGGCAGTTATCTCACTTGCACTTTAATACAAAAATGATGTGCCTATTGTAAGCTTTCAGTAGGCACATCAAATTTTCAAGTAAAGATGGTGTACACCATCTTTACAGAATGATGCCACTTCGCATAATCTTGGCACAATCTACGTGATCTTCTCTGATTTGGGAGCATAGCCTCGCAGAGATGACAGGAAAGTGCAAGAACGGATTTACAAAAATAACATAGGTAAGAGCTGCGGAAATCGTTGTTACCTGACCATTGTAGCACCCGCCAGCAACTAACATAGGACGCACTGGATTGAAACGCATGCTAAATACATCGGAAGGACTCTCAAGAGCCATCTGCATTGTACAGAAGTCTCTTGGAAGAAAGCTCAATAAAACTAGACATAACTCCAAGTGAGGAATCTTAAAATGCAGTGGTGAATCTTCCCGCTTATTCAACATCTTCCAACTTTCTTCCAAAGCACACAAGATACCTGAGGGTGAATTGGATCTAGAAAACTCCAAACAAGAACATAAGAATCGCTAGGCTTTCCAGCAATCTGCATTCTTTCGTCGAAAGATTTTGAGTCAGATATGGCTGCCGCAACAATTCCGTTTCTGCCGGGCATCCAATCAACAGCTGATACCATCTTTGACCTGCCATATGTGATATCAGAGAATGACTGGTACTCCTGCATCATGTAACAACAAACACTATCTCAGTGCTCGAAGGCAACAAATAGAACGAAGTTAAGAGTCCACAGAGACCAAAACAGGAAAATAAACCAACAAAAACAAAATGCTAACAAGACCAAAGACGTAACATGTTCATCTCATCTTACTGCCGTATGCTGATAAGCCAACGAGTGGCTTCAAAACTCACAACCACAAGAAATATCTTCTGATCCAGGATATCCATAGAAACTTCCAGAGAAACGAGTCTAACCGTTATTGCGGTCGTAGTTTTGTCCCCAAGTTGGTAATCCTCGTCTGCAAAGGTGGCAAAATCATCCTCGTACAGATCCATGACCTCATTTTGCTGGAGGGCATCGACATATCTGACCTACCATCACAACACGGATGAGTTCACGACGACCGATTTGAACGAGCTTAAGTAGAAGGATTAACGAAAAAACTGAATGAATTCTTCAACCAGATCAAAGGGAAATAGAGACGCTCTTCCCAAAAACTTACAATGGCTTCGAGAACTTCAGAAAGCAACCCATATCAACACTCCCCATAACCTTAGTCCTTGTTTCGGGATCAAATTGCCGAAAATCGTACTGTGCCAGATTATTTCTGGCTCTCTGCCTTCACAAGCGAACAAATACTAATAGCAACATAGGTCTGATATTCTTAAAGTGTTCCTGGATAGCTTTGAGTCCACTATTTTGCTTCTTTAAAAATGCATGTTTGCTCAATGTATGTTGCCAAACCTGCCGCAATGAAACAAGTAGTATGTGAGAAGATAAGGTACTGGATAGTTTGAGAGCCTTTATCAGCGACGATGGAGATGGCCGAAATGGCAACGTCTTGTTCGGCAAAGAACTTGTCGAATGAGGGGTCTTTAAAGGGCCTACATTCCATCTGGCTACTGCTCCAAGTTTCCTGTTGGTGATATCAATGATATTGGTCAAGGGCTACGGCAGACGACGCAGCATAGGGACAAATTCATAGATCAAACTTAGCGGATAAACGGTCCTCAGGGCAGTTAGAAGTGACACACCAGGGCATCCCTGTCTCTCAAAGCAAACTTCTGGTAAAATTCGTCTCGTTTACGACAAGCTCTCATTTGAATCTGCAAGCAGTCAGCCAACCGTACGTGAGGTCTGTTGTCGAGTTAACAGGAGCATCTTTGTCCATCCTTTAGTCTGCGTATTTTGAAAGACAAAACGAGGTTCGTGATCGACATTTTGTAATCTCGTGAACATTCCAATTCATGACGCGTGAAACCATCTTCTTCCGTCGTAGTTAGTGCTCATTATATCGTTTGTCCGGCGGGTTTTTCTCTTACAGGGGGTCTGGAAGCTTTGACACTCTCTCGGTCAACTTCGATGTCACTGCCCAGATTTTTCCACACCCTTGGTCCCTCTAGCTCTTCCTTTATTGCGATAGCCTCTGCAATATCCTTCTCCCAGAAGAAAACAACTGCAATGAGCAGCGCAAAGCTTTTGACTATCATTTGTAAAAGCATGTAGTAGAAGCTCAAGCAGGCAGTTTATACATAAAGAGCTGATAAAAAATGAGATTGCTGCCATCTTTAGATTGTTTCTGAGGGGCGTGAGACGAACCGCAAGTAACTTCTCTCTTGAATCATACGTTGCGTAGATTTCGAAATTGTCATTGTTCAGATATCTATCATCGGTGATATAGCGAAACGTGAAATTTGGCTCCCAATAATTCTGCAAGCATCGATCTACGTCAGTCTCAAGCTTCTACCACAATGGATCAAATGAATACGTATTTTTATTAAGAGTGTAGGAAACTACAAGCGGCACAAAGGTGTGTAACCACACTAAAGTAGCGTGATTCTCAAAGGCAAACAGAACACACAGGCTAGAGGTCCTGTAGGAACCCTGCGATGATGAATCATATGTGACGCAATCATTCCGATGATGAATTCTAGACCAGAATCTTCACTTTTACGAGGTACAACTGAAAGTGAGAGCGGTATGGACAACCTACCTACTGTCTAAATTCTACGTTTTCAAATGCAGACCAGACTCCATTCAGCAAGAAACAGGACAAATGGCTGCATGCAAGAAAATCAGGTTTTGATGTATGTGGGCCCTGTATTTATCAAAACAGACAAACAAACTAGTTGTATGACAGTGACAACAGTTTTTGAGTCATCTTCCATATTTGAAACCTTGCTTTTATGATGATTTCTTACCCCATAAGTATTAGATTCACGGCAGTGAATGATTTTCTTTCTAGCTTCATGTGTGACAGTAAAACCACATCCAAAGAGACGAATGATTGCCGGAATAAATTGTTAAGGGGAAAGTATACCTGCAATTGACCCTTCAGAGGGCGGAATTCCGAAGCAGCACCTCGATTTTTTATGTCATCGAAGACCTTTTGAGCAGAGACTGAATGCAGACTTTCATGTTTTGCATCGTCCTTATCAAGTCCAATAGAAAGAGCTGTTTCAGACGAAAGGAACAGAGAAAATACTCCCGGGGGATGCTTTGCTGGCTCCTTAACAATCTCTGGTGGCGGCGTTGGTGGAGGTGTCGGACCCTTCTTCTTGCCTATTGATGACACAGATGGTATAGGAATATCTAGAGCGATTAAACTCAAGTCCCGGGTCATCGTTGGAGCTCCTCCCTCGACTGCTGGAGTTTCAGCGGCCGCGGCAGGGACAGGGGCAGAGGCAGCATCTGTAGAAGGTGCCGGTGCGGCATCTGAAACAGAATCACGAGTTGTTGATGTATCAGCTGCAGGAGAAGGTGGTTGTGTCTCTGCTGCAGGTGGAGGAGGAGGAAGATGAGGAGGAGTGGGAGCAGGGGGCTTTTCAGCAGGAGATGATGCATCCTCAGGTGCTGTCGAAGTCATTTCGGCAATTTACAGTCTGACAAACTTCCCTACTGCTGGATAAATTGGCAAGCAGCTTTGGTCCGCCCCTTACTGCACACGAGTTGAAAAAAGAACAATATTCCGACCAGCAACCATTCCCGTCACTTTATCATATTCCATCATGCTATTTCTTCGTGCACAGTTAAAAAGAAACGTAAAAAAATCCCAATTCTCTGCGCCGTTATTCCAACCTCGCAAATGACAAGAGCCAATTCTGTCCAGCTTTCATGCCCATCGAACAACAAAAACACGAGGGCAGCTTGCGAGTCCCGCCATAGATTTGACTATACAAATGGTCTTATGCCATCTCTCAATCTTCGTCCAAAGAGCATTTCTCAATCATCCTAAACCTTTCAAGACCAGCGCGGGTCCGGTCCTCCTTTCACAGAATGACTCATCTTCCAAATCTCGCTAACGATCTTAAAGTTCACAAAAACT